AGAGTGCTACAAAGGTGGACATAATTAGGTTGATTGCCAATTAGCACCGGTTGTCAGCTGTACAAGAGGTCTGATGATTATTCCAAACTGCAGGTGTGCTTGTAAAAGAAAAAAAAACTTTTTATTACCTCTACCAAGGAGGTTATTCTTTTGGTTGTGTGTGTGTGTGTTGGTTGTTTAGCAGCATTATGGACAAACATCTGGATGGATCATCAGCACACTTGGTACAGACATTTGTGTGGACTAACTCTACAAGTCATTTGAATTTGGCTGAAAAAGATTAAAGGTCGAAAACAAAATCATGCACAAAAAATTCCCATCTTTAACTGTTTTGGGGCAAAATTTCATCTGGATCTGATTGGGATTCTGGGTCTGATGGCCATTTAAAGTTAACATTCAAAACCCCATTTAACAGATATTTTCTGCCGTAACTTCGCCTATAATGAAGACAGAACCCTAAAAGATGATCCAGATCAAGGATTTTAGGACACATTTTGTGTTGTTCTGGGTCTAATTTTTACACAAAGGATCCATTTGCATGAGCTGTGCCTTGGTGGAGGTACATGTGCTCTCTGAGTGCTCCTGTTTATTATTTATTTATCTCTCACCTTTGCATTAACGTACTTGTTTCAGCGGTTTCAACCATGCTTCACCATCAGGTGCTTGGCTACCAGCTGACTAGTAACATCCAATCATATCACTGATGCTGTAATCTGCTGACACGTCATACTAATCCAGTTTACTGCTCGTAGTGCTCTCTGCCACTTCTTATTTGTGTTTGTGCTATGTTATGGTATTGTTGATTAATTAACACTAATGTTCATGTTTCTATTTTTTATGATTCTACTAGCAGAATCTGTGTTACTGCTGAGACTCCCTGAGAGCTGCCTCAAACATCAAAACCTTTCCCACCAAATCTAACTGTACTATATCTACTTCCTATAAAAGCCCTGTTTTTATGTTCAATGTTTCTGACTGTATTGAAAATATCCTCAGGAGTTGACATGTAACCTGATCTGAATTACTGTTTTGTTTTGTACTATATTTATGTTTTACAGCAATATACATTATTCTTTAGATTTTTAGACAGTGATACTGCAGACACAATGTTGACTTCAAACCACACTGATGACGTGAGGAGTCTTTTTGGTGTCAGGAGCGGAGCTGTATATTACATTGAATCCTAAAGACATTCCATTCATGATAAAAAAAATGAGTCTCATAACGTGTAATATTATCCTAGTGATATATGAACAGTTTGGCAATTGCATAACAGTCGTAAATGGGGCAAAAAGTGCAGGGTCTTTGTTGTGTTCACAAGTGAAAATTGGACCTGAAACTCTACTCTTCTACCTGAGAGCCTTGATCGTGGGACGAGGAGGGTTTCCCATCACAGTACACACGCAAACACAAAAACAGTGAAAGGGGCTTTTCAGGCTGCAACAAAAGCCCTTCTTTCTGTCTGACGCTGAGTGGGGAAAGACAGAAGGAGGGAAGGAGGGGCAGAAAGTGATAATGCTGAGGGATGGCGAGGAGGGAGATGTGTTACCATGACAACAAGTGGAAACACTAAAAGAGACTGAAACTCTATTTTCACATTTTCTTTAAACTTAGAACTTCATACTCTGAAACTACACCCCACTGTGCCTTTGTCACAGCAGGTTAACAGGTTAATTTTCTACAACCACTGAGGTAAAATAGCTTTTTTATTGTGCTCTAAGTCATTACAATATTTGCCTGTTCATTAAAGAGACCCAGTTGACCTCTAAGGCAAACTAACAAATTATGCAGCTGCCACCTTTGCCAGCAACTTTAATGAGTAGGCTGAAGTAGTAAAGGTAAAAATACAGAATAAAATGCAAAACAAAAGAGGAAAACTTAAACTGGTCATTTTCACACTTAATTAAGACACTACGGTGGTGGGGCTTATCTCTGGGGGGGATGAGACTACCTACAGGTGATGAGGTGGAGAGGCTGATAGTGTAGTGCAGAGAATAATCTGCTCCTTAATACCTCAGAGACTAAGGAGGTCATTGTCGACTTCAGGAGGAAGAAAACCGACATCTTGCCACTGTATATCAGTGGGGACCTTCTGCTCTCTGGGGGTCCACATTAAGGAGGATCTGACCTGAGGCGTGAATACGTCTGGACTGCTTAAAAAGGCCCAGTAGAGACTTTACTTCCTACGGGTGCTCGGGAAGAACAACATCTCCCAGAGACTGCTGGTGTCCTTCTATCGGTGCTCCACTGAGAGCATCCTTACATACTGTATATGTGTATGGTATAACAGTGGCTCAGAGGAAAACACTCCAGAGGGTCATTAATACGGCCCAGGAGATCATTGGCTGCCCTCTCCTCACTCTGAAAGAACCACACAGTTCCTGCTGCCTCAGAAAAGCTCAAAACATCATTAAGGACACTTCACACCCTGGACATTCACTCTTTGAACTGCTGCTGTCAGGTAGATGGTTCAGAGTAATCAAATCAAGGACCACTAGGTTCAAGAATACTTTTTACCCAACAGCAGTTGCCACACTCAATGCTGCTAAAATATAATGTGCCGTTGTGTGACGGGGGGGCATGAGAGGTCTGTTGTTTATTTCATTTTTCTAGCGGTTAAGTTTTTTTATATGGTCTTATTTCATAGTTTTCTTATTGCTGTGCCAACTGGAGGTCACTCTAAAATTTTGTTGTACATGTTACAATGACAATAAAGGATTATCTTATCTTATCTTAAAGAAACCACAAATAACCTATTAGGTGGTGAGCTTTAGAGATGCTGGAGGGCACATTTTTCCTGACCTTTCCAGCAGCTTACTGTACCTGGTTCCTGGCTATAGCAGCATCTGCAAAACCAAGACAGCTGGGTAAACTTTGTCTGCTGATGGAGAATATGTGATAGGACCCAAATTAGCTATGGCGAGATCTGTGTTTTTATGTTCTGCTTTGTGAAACGCTACACCGGACTGTCAGATTATTGATTGTTGATAAGACTACTGTGAAGAGAGACAAGCAAGAGAAGCCAGATACAACAAATATGCAGTAGGTGTAGGCAGAGTATAAATCATGATATGCAGTTCTATATCCTGCTAATTGCTCAGAATATCGAAATAACCTCTGAAAGGTTTAAGTCACCTTGAGCAAAACAATAACAGAAATGACAGTAGGCCAATAAAATTTCAGAGCCACACAAATTACTTTCCCCTTTAAAATCCCTCTAAGAATGGCCTGCAGTCCAGCCAGTGATTGAGAGTTAATCTTTCTACAGAGCAAATCTTTATCACAACCCTTGACAGTGAATAAACTACCACAATGATTTATCAGAATGTTACACAGATGAAAAGCTGACAAGGTCAATGACTCCTCAAGTGGCAACTGCTACAAAATGAGTGAATGCTTTTTGTATGCAAAATCACATTCCTTCTCAGGGAAGTGTAAATTACTTCTCTACCTCAATTACAAGAAAACAAAGGCTTGGTGTTAACATCAATATGTTTCAGAAAAGTTATGTGATCCATTTTAAACACAAACTCATTGTGAGCAATAAAGATGTAAAAACATTCTCATTTTTCTCATTCTTTTGGCCTGTGCCACCCTAGTGTTACAGCACAAGATTAAAACTGCTAAAACAAATATTTATAGCCATGGTAGTGACCTGGCACTGTGGATGGTGACTGGTCCACTAGCTTCTGATTTAAGTATTGCAAAAGCAGTGGATACACTGTCGTGAACTTCTGAACATTGATGGTTTCCAGAGGATGAACCATATTATTTTCACTATCCTCTGACATTTAGTACCACCAAGAGGCTGACTCATAATTTTGAATGAAATATCTTGACACTTATTGGATTGACTGGGAGTGAACAGTTAATAACACTGATAAATACCTTCTCTAGCTGTCTACGTCACTGCCGTGTCAGAATTTCAGTTTGTCTATTACTTTGACTAAATACAGCTGCATTTTGTGTTTAATGCTAATTGGGAATTGTTAACATTTTAACATGCTAAACTACGATGAACTTCATAAACAATAGGCCTATAACTCCTAAATATTACCAGGTTAGCAAGACTGTGGACTATTGTATTGTACTGTTTTATTAACAATGATTTAAATGTCTATATGCATATGAATGGTACCGCCACAAACTCAGAGTCTACAGAGCTCTAGAAATTATTTCAGAATTTTTCATGTTTCTTTATTTCTTTATTTCAGTCTGAAGCTTTACTGCTTTAATTCCCAGTAAAAAAAAACAGCTGCTAAAGAGTTGGAGTTCGTAGAGAGAAAACCTGAATTAAAAGGAGAATAAATATCAGACATCAGGAGGCTGGAAACACAACTCCAAATTACTGTGAATATTACTCTGTATCTGCTGGGTGTATATATAAGAACTAATGCTTTCACTGTGTCATCTTGGTAAAAATGTGCTAACACTGCATGTCAGTGTTTACAGCTTGTTTCTGTTGTCCCCAAGTGGACAAATAAAAATTTAAGCAGGTTTAAACTTTATCTCATTGCTACTTATGAGCTACAGCATGTCAATATTGAGCAGCTTGTCTCAGTCTAGACAGTGTTTTGTCATGGGATTAAATACGATGTCCTTCTAAAATCCACATTTCCCGGCTACTACCATGACAAACAAAATCTGATTATTATCATCCACCATGGAGTGTTAAATTTAAATGAAGCTCTGCAGACGTGAATGAAGCCTCGCTATGCTAATCATGGTGTAACATTTAAACCTGGATCAGTGGGTGCAGACACGAGTTTGGAGATTTTTAAAAAGAGTTTAGTGGTGAAAAACAATGTAGAACCAGCACTATCAATGAGGTTGTGTATCAGTTGCTGCCAGATACACACTGTTTTATATATGAGTGAAGTCTGAAATAAAACTCAATTTGGCACTGTGTTATCATATATGGAGAGAGGAGAGAGACTGAGGGGAGAAGTTCAGTTCCCAGGACATTTTGTGCTTGGAGGGGGAGGGAGGGATGCAAAGAGGGAGCAGGAGAGGGGGAGAGGTATTCTGCTGGAAATCCCTGAATGACCGATACCCAGTGCCAAACAACATGAGCACACACACACACACACACAGAGAGAAGAATAGCATTCCTTTCTATATATAGCAGGTGCTTTGTCCACATCTTCCAGATAGCTGTCGACTTATATCACAACCCCCCTTCAATCTCAGTGGACATGGAAGTCTATACAGTATGTGCACATCTATACATTTTTATTTATGCGCTGGATTTAGACTTTATTTTAGGCTTGCAAGGCTTCGGGCAATACTTACCCTTGCAGCCTCTTAAATCTCTCTGGATACGTTTTGCTGCAGCATGCCTGAACACGACTGACAAAGCATCACAGAATGCCGCACAGTGACCTGTACAGCGCACTCCCTCCCACAGCTATGTTTGTGAGTTTCTGAGTGTTTATATTTCTATATGTTTTCACCCATTTTTAAGGTGCCTGGGTTGCTGTATCTGAGCATACTGGCACTCACTTGTAGTGACTTCTTTGATCATCTCGGCTGAGGCGTGACATCCATTGACTATTTGTCTAGTCCATAGGGAGAGATCCTTAGTGGTCTCAGTCCGGAACAGGTGAGTCTCAATGCCAAGCCGCGTGCCAGTCCGAGTGGCAAAGAACAGCTCTGTGCCAGAGTGAGGAGACCCCCGGTCAGGGCCAGAGTGGACCAGACTGAATAAATACATACAAACATAAACTGTGAAGAATGAAGAAGATATTTTAGCACTGTAACAAAGAATATATTTTGTTATGATAAAGAACTTTGCTACAAGAAAGGAAACTTCATTGTACCAAGAAACTTGTGAATTTTAATACTCTCCTGTTACAAACATATACAACGAGATACTTTTCCTCACTGTGCCTTTTCATAGTATCATAAAAGGTGGTATTTACAATAGAAAAATGTTTTATTTACCAAAACAAGCAAGACCCAAAAAAATAAAAGTCTACCGCAATGCTAGCAGCTCAGTGAGGATGCAATCGTGGCTCGAAGGAAAAACATTTTCTAATGTGGATAAAACAGTGAAACTCAAGATTTGTTTCAAATCCTGAGCTGTTGTGGTAAAATAAATGTTAAATGGTAGTGGTTGGTATGGTAATGATTAACCTGCTTACAATAACCATATTAAAATGCAGGTGTTTAGCAGCAAGAACAAAGTAGCTGAACCAATTAAAAATAGAGTGGTATTTGCAGCACAAGTTTGGCATATTAATTGCTATGCTATTTTAGCAATATTGGACTTTTTTAATTAGTTATACTTTATAGCAGGGTTTAAACATCAAAATCCTTTTCATTACTGTGACAACACAACAGTCTCCATATTTGAAATTGTAGTAGTTTAATACATAAAAGTGTTTTCATGAGCAAATCTGATGGTGAACTTACCGTGTTGCTAAAAGTGGATAAGTGTGTGCAGGGCTCTGCCAGGCCTCTTTGCTTCGTGGTAGACTGTCATACAGCAACAGATCTTTCTCTGTCACTACCATCAACAGCGGCTTCCAGCTCTGCTTGTCACTCTCTGTCTGCAGCACAAACAGATAAACAACGAGATGTGAACAGCTGTACCCATTTATCCATTTTCTATTCCCACATATCCTACGTAGGGTCATGGGGGACTGTGCAATTCAAAGGTAAAAAACAAAACAAAACTGCAAATAGCTGGCTGCAAATGTTAGTTGTTTTTTAATGGATTATCATACTGTCTGAAGTAATTTAAGATGATTCCTGAATCTGACCAGCTACACAGAAAAGTATTTTTATAATAATATCAACAGGTTTCCATGAAGCTGTAAAGGTTTGGATTTACTTCATAAATTAACTGATTATTAAAATTTTAATACAATTTTGGCTATTCATGCAGAATATCTACTGTAAATGTGATTGAAGCACAACCTCAGATAATTTGATGCTGCAGGATTTGATGCCCACTTACTGTATATTCATCACAAATACTGAAATTGTCCTTGAGTTTTAGATGAAAGCAGATATTCCATCAACAATATAAATGGTTGTGTGTCAGTGAGTTGTCCTCCCTCTGACACCGAACTACCCCCCTTTATAAGACTAATGTTGTGTCAGAGAGAGGAATGGTGTGTGTTTAATATACAAAAGACTGCGTGTGTACTCAGCAGTGGGTGTGGACCAGTCTTCACCTCTCTTGATCCCTGACGGGGTATGCAAACATCATTTTTCCCTCTTATGCGCACTCTCGTTCCTTCTGTCTCTTAGTCAATATTTCACTGCAGAGTGGTTCAAAATGTTATTGAAGGAACAATTTTGCTGCTCTGGTCCTCCACTCAAAACAGGTAGATTCACTAAAAATATAGGTGGCTGGTGTGCAGGTACGCTTTCTATACATTTGCTTTGCTCCCCTGCCCCACTCCTAACAAGCAAAGCCCTCGTCTCCCCTTCAGAACACAGACTGTTAATCTCTTATCTCAGAGCGCACACAGACACACACACACAGACACACACACACACACACACACACACACACATACACACACACAACCCTGTATTTCTTTGTACAGTGCTCCATAATTATTCTCATAATTAGAATTTATCTGCTGGCCAGCGATGGAGTCCTATACTACTAGTTGAAGTTCTGCCTCAGCCAATCATATCGTGGGATTTAGAAGGTCAAGGATCAACTTTTTAACATAATGTGACTATGTTGCTAAGTAACAGTATTGTACTGCATTTAAGGGATCAAATATTGGCAAATTTATAAGGACTAAATTAAACAGGTGTGTGTGTGTGTGTGTTTGTTTGCACAGGTGTGGCTGTATGAAAGAGAAAGTGAAGCTTTAACAGTATGTGTATTTACTTGTTTGATTTTCCAAAATGTGGGCATGTGTGTGTACACTGGATATTCACAAAACAAAAATGTGCAAGTAAACACAAGTACATGTGCACACACCCGTATTTGTAATTCCATACTCATGAGGACCCTGATAGCTGAAAGGTATTCTGGATTTTGCAACACTATTTCCAACAGTCGCAACTACATGTCAAACCCCAAGACTTACTTTAAACTGAAGTTATCAGTTATTAGATGCAGTAACTTTAATCACCAGAACACAGTATGAGATACAGGTTATGCCACATCCATGAAAAACATAACAGTAGTTACACTAAAGGTGACAGTAAATTCCAGTCAGATGTTTGAACATCACCTGACGCTCTCTTCCCCCACACGTTAGGTCAGCATAAACAGAGTTGGACATTTTCATGCTCCCATTTTGCATCAACTGGCGAAATGTGTGGAGGTGAGAAAGATTTGAGACTTGCACAACTATGTTAGATTTTGTTTTTGCATTCTTCACACAGCTCCCTATGTCACTTTTTGTATTTACCATTGAATGCAAACCTTTGAATGATGAAGATCATCTGAAAGTGTGTGTGATGTTATCCCCATATTTATATAATTAGCAGGTCTCCCCACTTTCTGTGACGACTTGCTTTCGACTCTGCCTTCAAGTGTGGCTATTTAGAAGTGTTCGGACAACACATCATATAAACTGGTTCATTTCACACATACCCTGAGCTTTACACGCACACAACACATTGTATGTCAAAATGACATTAATTTAACTCAGGGACTTGTCCAGACACTAAAATAAAAAAACTATGTAAATACAATTAATCGGTTAATAAATAAAAAGCCAATTTTAAATGATGCACCTAAAACAAGATTGATAAGCAGGCCATACAAATTAAACAAAACCTTAAGAATTATTTCAAAAAAACAACCTGTCTCTTAGAAAACAAACAAAAATCAGTTATCATTTACAGCTGTGGACAAATACGGTAAACATCTGAAAACCAAGTCTTAACTGAGACAGGTCGGATACGACGCGATACTGAACGGCCTTTTAAAGAGGGGAAAACCACCTAAAATATTTTCAATTTCCAAACACGTGCACACTTTAAGGTGTAAAACTCACACTGGGCATCAAAAAGACTGAGCAAGAGCACACACATACATACACACATATACATTTACACACCATAGTCACAAACTGGTAATAAGATAGAAGGTACCCCATTAAAATGTGAGAAATCTTTTACTGGTGCCTCACACACACACACACACACACACACTCTTATGAATATTATTGAACAAGAGGGTATTATAAAGCATTTTACACTCCCTGTCTTTCTCTCTCTCTGCTTCTCACTCACACACACACACACACACACACACACACACACACACACACACACACCAACTCCCACCTTCCCTGCCAGCCATCCCAGGTGTCGTATCTCTTTGCTGCCAGCAACCCCTGTTCTGGCTGTGCTCTGGATGACCTCTGCCAGCGCCCGCTGTGATGGATGACAAGGTTTTAGGATAGATGATCATTAATGGCAGGTTAGAGCTGTAATGGTCACATTGATGATGGGGGCTACCTGTAAAATCAACAAAATCAAAGACAGACCTGTGCCAATGTGGATGTGACAGATTGCGTGGTAGCGAACCAGGACAGGGCAGATGGCTGGTCTGGGCACCGCAGCACAACAGTGTGCCTGGCATCAGGGGAGTGTAGCTCCAGTTGTCTGGAGGAGAAGATAAGAAAAATTAAAGCAACTTTAACCCCTCTGTTAACACTGGGGGAGGGAGTTCGAAAACCTTTATACAGTAGCTTGCAATGCAGCCCTTGAGAATGAGCACTTGGTCAGTTTAAGTCAGTTCAAAATGTGAAACAGGTGTTGCTCATGCATCCTCTGTGGGCCATATGACAATAGTGTCTCCCACTATCATATAGGAGTATTTCTGGCATGAAGAGAAATCCATATGTAGGATGTTTGTCGAGCTCACTGAACAGCTCTTTTATTGTGTGCTCTGTGAATATGAATTTTAAAAAGGAACATGTGGCAACCTTTATCGCGCATAATAAAGTGTGTTGTTGCTTCATATTGTAGCATCAGTACAGTTAGTGTTCATTTCTGTCAAGTAAAACCAGCAGCCAAAAAAAGAAAAAAAAAACCTGAACAGCTACACTAAAGCAAATATTAAATGTCTGCTATTCTTTACTTCCTGGATAAGGGTGCAGAGTGAGGACTACTGACAAACATCTTTAACATGCAAACTATTGTGGATGGCTTTATGGAGGTTTATAAGACAAGACGACTCCTCAGTGTGCATCTCAGGCTGTGATTAGACCATGTTGGAAAATATTAACTCTAGAGTGTCTCAGGAGGTTTGAGCAGTGAAAAAGTATAAGATGTTGTAAATGAAGCTATAGTGGAATCAAACAGCAATTAAGAATCTATTGATATTACATCGATTTTTTATGCTGTCCAATCAATATTTGTAGCAATAAAAAAGCTTCAAGACAGTGCAAACTTGCTTTCTTTGCATCTTTCTTTATTCACTCACACTGGGGACCTTGAAAAGTCCCAGTGAATGTGATGAATCTGCTTTTCCATCATACCCTCAAAAGTGGGAGAGACCATCTAGATCAGCTCCAGGTGTTACTCTGGGTTATAAATAGAACCAGTGCCTCTAAAAGGCAAGTCGAATAAGGACAGGCAGGGGGAGAGAAGAGTGGAAAGAAGGGGGGAGACTCCGGGGCCAGATGTGATAGACGAGGGGTAGAGTTTATTTTAGCAACAACTTGACTACCATGAATGACACTAGGCCACATCTACAATTATGGACTGACTGAGGATAAATTACCTAAATCTCTCACATTAATGACACAAATATGGGAATCATCAGTTCAATGAAATGTTTTAACCCTTTTAAAGCAATAACACAAGTTAGAAGATAGATAAGGGATGGGACGATGTGGCTTTTTCACAACACAATTTGATGCATGATATGGTGTGTACAATTCAGTTCAATTCAATTCAATCAAGATACAAGTAAAAATTCAATGACAACAATGTATAACTAGCTGGGGAATACTTTATTTCTCTTTTTTCTCCTTTTCTAGTACTGGTTTGATTAAGTAAAGAGCAACCAAATATTATTTACAAAAAATGATGAAGTCACTGGTTTATTAAACTGGTAAATTAAATATTCCAGCTGTGTTCCATGCTAGGACTGTCTGTCATTGTTACTTAATTTAATATACTGTCCTGGAATTTGACCAGGTACAAACTTGTCACACAAAGGCTATTCCAGCATACGGTTTTCTCCCTGTTAATGAGTTTTGAGGGGAGCTTATCTTATCTAAGTCAACGGTCTGAGGATAGAGCATGTTGTACTGTGTGATGCACAGACTGTAATGCACCTCGAGGCAAATTTATGACTTGTAATATTTGGCTGCATAAATTAAACTGACTTTTTAAAATTTACACCTGGTATTAATATGTGATCTGTATCTGGATAATTACATCTGATGGGTCTTTGCATTTACACTGGTATTAAAATTTGTTATCACTTTAACTGAGCAATAGTATGTCGAGGCTGGCAGACTTGTTAATAAACAATGTTATCGAAATCACTTTTTGCAAGGTCAGACTTACAAGCTGCCACTTGTAGCTTTTGCCAGGCTTGTGTAAGGTAGTAGTAAACATAGGAAAAGGTGGAGTTATGTGACCTTTCAACATGCTGGATGATTTTTTTTCTTAAGAATATGGTCACACTGTACGGATTGCATGTCCCCTGGCTGGGATCCAATCAGAATGCCATCCAGACCACCTCAAGATGTGGGGTTCACATTCAGGTCCCAATACATTCTGCATGTGTTTATACTTTGCATTGAAATGCTTTGTCCTTCTTATCCAGATACAGATTGCATTTTAGGAGGTTGATATATCCTGATTTTTTGTCCCGCTGGGTTTTACGCCTTTATAATGACAATAAATCTGAAACAGACAGGCATTTATCATATTTTGTAGTTGATTAATCTACAGTAAAAAATCAGTGTAATCAAAAATGATAAACAAATTCTCACCTGAGGCTAATTTAATTGTTGTTCCACCCTCCCTGCCGTCTAAACACCCACACTGTTTTTAAGCCTGTTGCTTCAGTAATAATAATAATAGTGAAAGAAAAAAAGAGAGCTTTCATCCACTTTAGGAGCTGAATCCTTTTCTTCTCTTGTTTCTCCTCTTCCATACCCTTCCTAGCGTGCCTTTCTCCTGTTTTTTTTTGTTTCTTTCCTTTACTTTTTCATTGCCACCACTACATATTTTCTCTTATCCCATCTCTCAACACCTCCTCATAACATTTTTTTAACCACACTGTAAAAAGGGTGTAATATCCATCCAGCCAGCATCATTTTTTATTATTATTGACTGTTACCAATGTCACAGAAAGCCTTGTATGCAGTGTATATTAAGGTGAGGAAAATGTCTTCAGCAGTCAATTTTTAGATAAGTCAAGGCTTTCCTTAAGCAAAAATTATGACTCATCTCTCTACTCTGCTCCCTCGCTGCTCTTTCCTTGTCTTTTATCATCTTTTCTCATCACTGAACGTGCTGTACCTTCCCTCATATCCATCTGTCCTCATAGGCTCAAACTAAGTTAAAATAACATCTGCCAAAATGAAGACAAGAACTCTCAGAGGGATGCAACATTTCAGTGAGTCTAGTAAAAAAAGAAAAAAGAAAAGAAGAGCTGAATTTCTCTGGCACTAAACATAAAGCCTCTTAAATCATTTCAGATCTGAATCCAAAATGAGTAGCCATTAACATTTCAGGATACTATCCATGAAGACCAAAATGTGTCAGAGTCATCTGTGTTTATGATGTTTGGGCTTTTTTTTTTTTTTACATATCTCTCTACTGGAAATGTTGGCCCAGAAGCTGTGTTTTAGCATCTTGGTGTCGACAGTGGCTTTTAATTTACGAACTGACTATTTCTGACTTGCTGCAATCAATGTATATTCCACCACCTGTTGAATTCTGAATGAGTCCGACTCATCACGATGACTTTGTGACCGCCATTCACCCCTGCACTGCTGTACTGGCCTACGTTGGAAAGCTCATCATCAGAGTCATTCCTGTGAACCTTCCTGCACCACCTATCAGACTTCCATTGGTGTGTTTTCGGTCTGGTCTGCTTCAGCTTTATGAACAGGAATCCAGACCTGGTGTGACTCTGAGGACTCTCACCTGTGTCCGTACATTTTCTTTGCTATTGCATCACGTGAGGTATATGCACCTGCCTCCCCCCCAACTGTTTCTTATGCATATCTAGATAGTGGAAGCCAGTGATCAATTTTAACCACTGACTGTGACGGATCGTTGTAACACACAGCTGTCTGCTATCAAAACAGGTGAAGCTTTTCCTGGGAAACATTAAGTTCAATACACTTTAAACTGCCACATTGTGTGACTACATTTCCTTGTAGCTATAAAGTTTATCTTAATGTGATTCAGTTTACTGACTGAAGTTTTATCATTCTAAGTCCACTGAAGCATGTGTTGGTTCATTACCTGGGATGGGTATTCCTGATAAATGTCTCATTACTTTATAGACCAGCTTTTGTTTAGCTCCAAGGTTATAAACTCAGTCCACGTTTATGTTCTCTTTAAATAATTCCATTTTGAAGCAGATGAAACTTATACTCATTGTTATGCTGATGATATGGCTTTATAAAGCTGTGCACCCTTGCTTACAGAGGCATTTCATACAGTCTGGTTAAATATTTCACCTGCGACTCATTCAACTAAAGCTTGTACTGAGTGCAGAGAAAAACCATGTTAATATTATTTTCTAATGCAAGCAAAAACACCTTCAGACATGGCTGTCACACACTGACAATTCAGGGAAACAAGAAAATGTGTCATATCAGTTGTTATAAATATCTCGGTGTTTAATTTGATGGATGCTTTTCTTTTTCAGCAACATGTGAAATCTTGTGAAAACTAAAAATTAAGACTGCTTTATTACAGAGACAAAAAGTAAGAAAAAAGTTTGCACACTGTATTGAGCTCCCACCCATCCATCATCTACAGCAGACTACTTATTCCTTCAATTTAAACATTTACTAAATATTTATCTGTGAGTCAAACAGAAATCTGACCTGGCTCTGAGGACAAGGAAAGAAATAAAAAAAAAAAAAAAACACGTTGGTCAAGCTAAATTTGACAAAGGACTTTATCTGTGTCTGTGAATCAGTCTCTATCTGCATGAAGCAAAAACTTATACTGTCATGAGATGAGATATTTAACTGGCTGACCAATAAAGTCAAAGTTGTGGCCAACGAAGTGAATGTTCAACCCTTTTGTGCTCTTAAAAAGTTAAATACTTTAACCAACATTTATGAATGCACAAAAGTTTCACCAAGCAGTTTGTGGCCATCTTGATTAAATTGTGTCCGTATGACACATTTAAGTTTTTGAACTTGTTCAGCTTTGTTTGTTGTCCAGATTCATATCTAAGAACAACTGGCCAGTACAGCCACAGCCTTATGCTTAAAGTGAAACTCCAGTCATGTTCTCATGTATATCTGAAAAACATGTCAAACATTTTAGTAAATACTCGTTTGAGTTCTGACTGAGAGTCGGATGAGAAAAACAATACCACTCAGTAAGTATGAAGCTAGAGTCAGGAGGCAGTTAGCTTAGCATATTGTACATGTGTACATGGCTCTGCAGAG